TCTCCTGATTGCAATGGGAAATACATGGACATGCAGACACACTTAAGAAAAGATGTTTTGAGTGAATAAATGAATTAATGAGCACACATCTACAGATAACATTCTAAGCAGGGAGAATGTGAGGGAAGATAAGCATAGTCAATTAAGGATTTTGAAAGGAAAGGAATTCAGAGTGGCTGGAAAACATAGTTGAAGAAGACAAATGGCTGGCAATGGGACAAAAGAGAGAAGCAAGGACAGATCCAGCCAGTTTGACAATTTGGACGTTATCCTGAGCACAATACTGAGTCTATAGGGTTTTAGCAAAAGGAGTAGATTAGCATTTTAAAAAGAACATTGTGAAGAACAGTTTTGAAGCAAACAAGACTGGGAAGAGATATGTTAGAATGGCTATTGCAGAATACCAGGGAAGGGTTGTCGATGGCCTGAACTAATGTAGCACCCTTGACAAATGGCAAGATATGGTAAGATTCAAGAAATGTTAGAGGGATAGAATCGTCAGAACTTGGTTTATTGGCTTCACATCTTCTCTCCCCAATAGAGTGATGAGCTCCTGAAGAGCAGGAACTCTGCAGTATGTCTTCATGTTCTATTGAGTTACACATGGTACCTACATGTAGATTAGGTATTCAGTAAATATTTGCTGAATTAAGAGATGAATGAATGAATAAAACTGTATACATAAGGTAGAGCTGATAAATCCTTACTCACAAACAAAACAAAATAAACATAAAACTCATACAACTAAGATTTACAAAAGACTCAGAGTGATGTTTATTAAAGTAGTCACCTTAGGCTTGAGAGAGGACAGAAGAGACTATCCTGTTGTCAAAAAAAAGGCAAATATAATCAATATATAAATTTCCTATTGCTCTTTGGAAGGAAGACTTACAGAAAAATGCTTGAAAGGACCTCTTTTTACACAGCTTGTACAAAGAGAAAAGTCTGTGCAACCAGCCATTTAGAATTATATTACATAGAGACCCCTTGTCCAAAGCAGTGTTAAAGTATATTGTATGCTGTATCTGTTTGGAGAAGTCTTATCACTTAGATATGTCAGAAATGATGTTTTATGCTTTCCACAGAGAAAAATCCTGTACACTTTTCAGATACCCTCTGGAAAATCTTGTAACTCATAAAATATTGAACTTGAGTCCTGAAGTAATGGGGCAAACTAACCCACAAAAACAGTGTGTCAGAGATGGTGGAGGAGATCATTATAGTTAATCAATAGCCCATTATTGGAAATCAGTAATAATCTTAACATAATAAACACATTTAACCTACATAATGGAAGCTTTGATTCATTCTTCAACCTTTGCATATTTCCACAATCAACAAGTGATGACAAAAGCCTAAATTTCAAAGTTCAATATCCTGTCAAAAATATTTTAAAATAAGGTCAGAATTAATCAAACACACAAATAAGAAACAAAGTCAGAAAGGCTAATCCATTGCCTCTATTTGCAGAACTCTTACTAATAAACTGGGAAAGGAGCATAGATTATTTTTTAAATGTGAAAACACCACACAATATCAAATGACAAGTACATTACAAAATCTTACTGTCACAGATATGAACCTAACAGAATTAGTGTTCCAGAAAGGGAAAATATCACCACTATCTTATTTTACCTGCAAAATTAAACCTAAATATGCATCAGTCCAACTTTCTTGCTTGAAAATACTGAAGAGGACAAAAAAGACCAAAGATGAGGGTAGTTTGAACTCTGATACTCAAATTTTTATTTTAATTGAAAGATAAATGCTTCACCATATGAGATCTCAAATTATTATATTTATGGTCTTAAAATTTTTGTGCACTTCTAATTCTAATTTTTTTAACATTTTAGTCAAGTTTTTTAAATTTAAAAAGATAAAATTTAAATAACCTTTCTCAAGCTTTTTACAATTATTTAGTAAGGCGAACTTAAACTAATCAGTTCAATACTGTTGGTTAGATAGTTAAAAAAAAAAAATCAACCATACTTGAGGTTAATGGGCTTGCAAAGATTTTTTACCACAACCCACAGTAAAAAATGCATTTTACATTGACCCAATCCACCTGTCTACACATAAGTGACTGAAACAGGACATTAGTTCTATGAAACATTACTTCCCTTTACCATGGTGCATTCTTATATTTTCTGTTCTAATCTATTATATTCTATTTAATTTAAAAAAAACCCACATCTATGGCCTGCTGCTTGAAAACCTCAGATTTAGTCATACCATATTTAAGAAACAGCGATTAAAGACTGTAAGGACAGATGTCTGATTTCAAATTCCAGCTCCACTATCTCCTAGCTCTGTGATTTCATGCAAGTTGCCCATCATCTTTATGATCAAGCATCCTCATCTGTAAATGAGGATAAAAGGATCTACCTCATAGGGTCATTGATGAGAACTGGTAGTTAATTGTGTCTTGTAAAGCTTGTATCAAAGTGCCTACCACTAAGCACTCAATACTTATTACGATTACCAGTCACCAGGTGGGGATAGACATTTCTGAATGTCTGTGTACAGTCCATGTTGCCAGGCACTGTCAGGCACTCCAGATACACACTGCTCTCATGACCTATCTTTTATTCGATTGATAAATTTCAACCATGACAAATTTGCTGCTACATATTAGTGAGGTATCATCAAAATAAAGTGTTTCCCTTGGTTTAAAAAAAAAAGATTCAACTGCTACACAATTACCAAACTACCCTACCACTCAGAGTCAGAGAATAAATTTTGTCACGGAAGGTGCTTATGAGCCTCATCAAGTCACTCTGGAAGGAGATTCCAGTGTTTGAGATTCATTTTCAGATTGTGTTTACAGACTCTCCTTCTGGTGAGGAAATGTGTTTTAATAAGACATTTAAAATTTTGACCATTGTCTTTAGAATTTTTACTCATTCAGACTTATACAGCTCAAAGCATCACATTTGAAGCACTACTGAACTAATTATATTATAAAACAATGGCTTTTTTCCTCAAGTAATAGCCTTCTAAACAGATATTCTGAACTTCATTACTTAGCACCTATTATCAGCAAAAATGTCAAATTCTTTATAAGATGATGAACAGAATAAAAATAATTTCAGAATTTTAAGTTGTGTATGAGTGTTATTTTTATTTTGTTAAAACAAACAATCTATTGTTACACTATTCTAATTCTATTAACTTTTGCCAAATATACTGGATAGCTATTGTTAGAACAGAAGCTTCCTAAAAATATTAAAACCCTAGAGTGCCACTTTCTGAACTGTTACTCAAATTGATTTCTTGATGCTTAAAGCAGCCAAAGAACTGTAAAAACCACACTAAATAAGATTGAAATTGGCTTTATTCTGATACTCCTCAGTTTCCATATTTGCTTTCACTCCTCTGCCAGAACTACACCCTTGCTTACTTTTCTTCTGAAGTTCTTTGAGGCTTCTCCTAATGAGAGCACTTGTGTGATGGGTTAGCAGGGCGAGGTCTCCCCAGAGTTTCAAGATTTGATTACCCTCTACAGTAAAATTGTATCAACAGATAAAAGGATCTATCTGTAGAGGTAACCACTCTAAAACTGGTTAATAATCTGTAGCTTGAAGAGATCTGTGAATTCCTAGGTCTAAGTAAAGAGGATGTGATCTCAGTGAAATATAAAAGAATGAGCAAACCAAGTAAATCTGTACTATAGTCTATTTGAGTATAATTGGTGATGAATTATTGTTTGGGGTTCTTCTGTTCACTCCTTTAACACTTACCATCATTATCCTCAACAATTATAAAAGCTTCCTAACCTTTCTAGAGCAGCCAAAAATTTTTAAGAAATGCAAATCTAATCAATTCTTTCTCCTACATAAACCCCTGCAATGGAAACATTGTTCTTAGTATCAAGTACACCAGGGTTAACAAGTTTTATCAAGTCTACCTCCCAGGCCGTGCTGCAGATGTTTCTCTCCATACTCCCTAAGGGTCAGCTGGCCTGTTGGCTCCCCAAGGACATAAACTACTTTCCTTTGGGGAGGCAGTTCCCTCTGCCTGCAACACTTCATAATCTTGACTGAAGTAATTTGATTTATCTTTAATTCTCATTTTAAAAGCCAGTTTTTAAGGGAGACTCTCCCAGACTGACTCCTCCCTGCAGGGTCTCATTGTACTTGAGACACTAGTGCTTCTCACTCATCCCACTGTAATCAAGCATCTGTTTAATATCTGTCTCCTCTGCTAGACTGTCAACAGGACCACGGATCTTTTCAACACTCAGCAGCAAGCCTATTGGGCAAATAGTAGGTGCTCAATAGATATTTGTTGAATGAAGGAACACATTTATTATGTGCCCACTACAGCTTACTATATGCCAGGCAATGTGTTGGGTACTGTGGATACAGAGCTAAGTAAGACAGGGTGTCTGCCTTCAAGGGATCAGACTTGGAAACAAACTGCTACCACAGAGCACAAGCGCTTTGAAGGGAAGTGGGTGCCAGGTGCCTTGGGAGGAGGGAGGGGCAAGCACCAACTATCAAAACACATGAAAACAACCATCTCCACTTAGCACAGCTAGACTTTGAACTAAAACCTATACAACATTGTCTCCCTGATTGAATCCTCACGACAGCCCCATGTGGTGGTTAAAGAACTTGCCTAAGGCCACAGTCAATGTTTGAATTCAGCTTATCCAGGTTTTCTGGCTCCACAGCAGAAAGCTGCACACATACATACAAGACCTGACACAGTGAGTCCAGCCACTGGGAATATGTCCAACCACTTCGCTATGTCCTGTTAACAATTTAAAAGGAGCCCATAACAACCCATTTAAAAATGGATTTAAAACATTTTTTTGCTAAATGTTTTATAACCACACAAATGAGTACAGAGAATCCTGTACAAAACAACACAATAAAGGTTTCAAGATTGATGTGTCCCTTTAGGTAAGGTTGAAGATTTCAGACTCTTGTATTGGAATTTGAGCTGCAGTCCTTGTTTTTGGAAGGACGGCTGGGTATGTAGCACAGTCCATGCTTCTAACCAGATTTGAACAGAAGAATGGCCACTTGGCCCAGGCAGAAGTAGATGAAGTGTTTGGTTTTAGGTGTCAGGTAATTACCAAAGTTCCTCCTAGAAACTTGGGAGGTCTTGTCACACTCCTTAATATGGGCTGCAGTGTCCTCTGTGTTATATTTGTCCAGTTCCTGAGTAGCATACTCCACAGAGTCCTGTTGCATTTCCCCCAACATATCAACATTTTTTATCATGTCCTTTCTGTCACACATAATTACGGTGCAGCAGGACCTGGCCAACTGTAGTGGTCTCCTGGGGGAAGGGCTGGCGAGGCTCCAACCAGTGGGAGCTGCCATCACTACCAACACTGTGGTGCATTTTGATACAAATTTTTTTAATGTTGAGTATGTAATGCATTCACATGTTTTTCCCCACATACTTTTTTGAATAGACAATGCATTCTCATGATTTAAACATTAAAAAAAATTAGGTTCGCTTAAAAGTTTCCTGCTCCTGCCTCCCATTGGCTCAGACCCAGATTACCAAAGGTAATCCCTTCTATAAGTACTGTATGCATTTTTTCCAGAATTTCTTTATGAATATATATATATATATATATATTTCCTCTTCCTTCCCCAGAAAAGGTAGCATATCATACACACAGTTTTGCACTTTGTTTTTTTCAGTTGATGATATATATCTTGAAGATCTTTCTGTATCATTAGCACTTCGTTCCTTCTCCACAATGTAGTATTCTACTTTATGGATATACTACAATTTATTCAACCAGTTCCTTATTGATAGACATTTGTATTGTTTCCAATTTGTTGCTATTACAAAGAATGCTGCAGTGAATAACCTTGTACATAGGTCAATTGTGCAAGTATATTGGTAGGATAAATTCCTAAAAGTGGTATTGCTGGTCAAAAGTTATATATATTTGTAATTTTTAAAGATATTGGCAAATTGCCCTCTATAGGGACTAACTCAATTTACATTCTCACTAGCAGTGGATGAGAGCACCTGTTTCCCCACAGCCTTTTAACACATAGTGTTAACAAACTTCTGGTTATTTGCTAATCTAATAGATAAAAAAATGGCACCATGTTTTTCTCATTATAAGTGAGGTTGAGCTTTTTTTTTTTTTTAATGTTTAAGAGTTTGCATTTCCTTCTCTCTGAACTGTCTGTTTACATCCTTTGTCCATTTTTCTCTTGTTGGTCTTTTTCTCTGGATTTGGAAGGAGCTTTTTTATATAAAGGAGATTAGCTCTGCTTATGATACAAATTGCAGCCACTTTTCTATAATTTTGTGTTAAATGTTCTAATCAATGCAACAAAACATGTTTTAGATACGATGAAAAAATATTCAAAAGGAGAATTCAATGAATCATTATTTGAACATGATTACATAGCTAAATAACTTTAAAAACTGATTCAAATTGATAAAGTTAATTGAATAACTCCAGATAAAGGAAATTGAAAATAATGTTGGGTCTAACAAGAAAACATAAGAGAATACATACATATATTAAGACCATTTCTACAAACTAGGAAAAAGAAAATATGAAAAAGAGACTTTGTTCACAATAACTGTAAAAAATATAAAGTGCCTAAAAGTAATTTTGCAAATAAAGAGTGTGACCTATATGAAGAAACTAAGACTTGAATAAATGGAAACTTGAATAATTGGAAACCCAGACCAGGTTATTAGATGAGAAAATTCTATATTTGAAAGAGGTCACTTATCAAATTATTTTAAATGCTTAATGCCATTAAAACAAAGCTAAATAATTTTAAATTTGAGAACGTATTAAGCTCATGTATAAAAATAAAAAATCATAGACATCCACATACACATGTTTTAATTCTAAAAAGGAGAGTCATGAGTGTAGATTTCATGCTAAAAGATGTAAACATATATTATAGAGCAATAATAATAAAAAACAGTATGGTAGGGGAGGAGCCAAGATGGAGGCATGAGTAGGGCAGCTGGAATCTCCTCCCAAAACCATATATTTTTGAAAATACAACAAATACAACTATTCCTAAAAGAGAGATCAGAAAATAAAGTACAACAGCCAGGCTACATCTACATCTGCAAGAACTCAGTGCCTCACGAAGTGGGTAAGACACTAGCCGCAGCCTGGCGGGACTCGAGCACGCCCCCGACCCTAGCCCACTGATGGGAGGAGAGGAATCGAGTAGGGAGAGAGTGGAATCACAGGACTGCTAAGTACCCAGCCCTAGTCATCCACACCTCTCAATATTCATATTTCTCAGCTCACTTTTAAGACCTTTCTTCTAACTCCACACTAGTGATCTTATCAAAGTCTCATGCATGCTGTTGAGTGCTGGGCTTTACACGATTGCCCCCTGCATCTCTTTGATCTAATTTCCTGCAGTATTGCTCTCCCACACACTCACTCAGTTCTAGCCCCATTGTTCACCCCATGGCCTTACACTTGCTGCTCCTCCTCCCACAGTTCCTTCCTCACTTCAGGCAAGTCTCTACTCAAATGTCAGAATGTTAAATAAAGAGACAAGACAGACAGAAGTCCTACTTTAGCCCTAAAAATGCAGAAAATTAGCTCTACCTGCTTCTTTCCCACAGCTGGGAAGCTCTGTCTTTGGGATTTCCCAAGTGCTAGCTAGCTCTTTTGGTGGGTCTTGACACATTATCAAACTGAATCCAGAATCAATTGCATTTCAGACTCTAGTTAGAATATATGATAAATGTAATACCTATCTACTGTAGAAAATATAGAAATGTGTGCTCCTGATACGATTTCATGACTTGGATGATAGTAAATATGGACCCAACATCTTATCAAGAACAAGAGCAGAATTGTGTTCATTTGATATAAATTTTTTTCAATGTCAAAACTCAAATGATGGTGGATATAAACTGTTTTGAAGAGTCCCTAGATTAAATGGAGGTGCTCCAGGGTTGCTACTGGAGGTGTAAAGCTGACAGAGGATACATAGAGCTCTAGATCACCCGTTCTGGATCTAACCATGTAGGTCTACACAAAATTTTATTTTAAAAAAAGTTTGAAAAGCACACTCTACAAATAAAACCAATGCTGAAATGCAGGATTACAAAATTGCAGTATATTTAATTTTGTTTCAACTTGCTACTGTTTCTTACACTTAAAATTATTATTATTTGAACACCCCACTCTCTGACCAAACTTTCCCTAAACCCAGCCCTTTCCTCAATTGCTCCTCAGATTCCTGTTTCTTTTCCATAGTTCTTTGACCTCTCCTCCTCTCTCTCTCTCCCTTTGGACTGAGTGCTGCCTTCATTTCTTCTTTTTGCAGTCGATAGCCCTTTACTTTGACCCCTCCTTCCCTTGCCTTTCCGTGGGTCCACCTCAAAGGGGCCCTCAGGGCTGCCAAACGAAAGTGAATGTTTCCTATTATCTACAACAGCCTTTTCAAACCTCCACAAATCTCTGACCTGCCCACTTCACCCTCCAAGAATGACCTCACCTCCTCCTTTAGAGAAAACAGAATGCTTTTAAAAGGACCTCCCCCAACTTCCTGCCTCCAAAATAATACCCCTCCTTTCCACCTATTAAGGCTATTTTTTCCACCTATGCTGCGGCTCACAACCCCACTCCCATTCTCTTGAGCTTTGAACTATTAATCATCTCTGTCTGAATGTTGAACCTCTCTGGCTCATGAGCCTTTCACCTGACGGGTTAGAAATCAACAATTCGACAGTCAGCACGAAGCTCCTGTCTCTTTGTAGGTACTTCTGTGATGCTCCTGTGCCCACAGACCAAAGCGTTCTTCTCATTAGCCTGGCTCCCTTTGGCAAGCAGGTAAAGTTTACGAAGAAGCAGTGACAAATAACCGAAAGAACTCTGAATATAGTTCTTTGTGAGCTTTGTTTTCACCACAGTGTTGATACTTTGGACCATATTTGTGGATGGAATTAATAGAAGCTCTTCTGAGAGTTTTTCAACTGATGTTTTTGGTTACACGGAGAAAGGTGAGGAGGGAAATGGTGGAAAGACTTAACCAAGTTACTGAAAATAATATTGGGATACTTGTCAAGTGCTATACCAGGATAACAATGAAGAGGATGGCCCAACTTCTGGATCTGTCAATGAGTCAGATGCATCTCTCTTGAAGTTAATAGTTAGTAAGACAGGTTGGCAGGAATTCACAATTTTCAGAGAACCAAGGATCCAAATAACCTACCAAATGACCGGTCTCAGAAACCCAACTTGCTGTTATCTGTATCTCACAAAGAGATGACACATAATCCACGAGAACTTGACGTCCTTAAGAAGGCGTTTTGAGAAGGCGTTTGGACAGAAGTCATAAAAACAGCTTCGTGCAGGATGCCTGGTATTGTTTTCCCTCAATTCCCAATTCCTTTGTCTAAAGTTTAAAAGATAAATGAAAATATTTGAGACTTCTTTGGCTTTTAAGTTCCCTAGGTTTCGTTCTCTACATTGTATCAGCAAACCATTCACGTTGATTTGTTCAGCCTCCTCCATTTGAGTACACTTAAGGTTTGTCTTTGTAATTATTCCTTGACACCCTGTATTAAGTAATGTTAGAAAGCAAGATACCTTGGCGATATTGAAATAGTTCCATATCCAAGGCCTTTGCTAAATTAGTATTTAATCTTATGTCCTTAGCTTCTGTAGAAAGGTGAATATAAGAAGTGTCCTTTCAAAGAAATATTTTCCGTATCTTTTGCAAAGTCAAATCAAAGGCATCCATTTATTCATTCATTTAACAAATATTTATTGAATCCTGATTACCTGCCAGACTGGGGACACAAACATGAATGACTCCCAGTCCCTGCCCTGAAGGAGAACACAACCTGGTGAGATGCGGACACATAAATCAATCATAATACAGTGATAGAGTATCTGTAATTAGAGACATGAAGAAAGTGTTACGTAAGCAATATGAGAGGGAGTGAGTAATTCAGCCTCAGGGTGAAGGAGGGCTTCTTACAGGCAGTCATAAGAAAGTTGGATATTGAAGGCTGAGAACATCTCCCCTGACCAGGGGGGAGAAGAGAAAGGCATTCCAGAGCTAAGAGCCTGAATGGGCATCTCTATGGGCAAAAATGAACTAACTTCATAAATTTGGAGAAAAATCACTAGGACAGAGAAAGGACACTAGGAAGCATCCAGAGATGAGTCCAGAAAAGTAGGTTAGGGTCCAATTTTAAAGAGATTTGGGGGATCATGGCGAACATTTATAGGCCCTGGAACCAGACTGTTCTAATTTACCATTTACTA